TTTCATAGTGCAAGACGAATTTGTTGCGATTTTATGCTGTTAGTCGCAATGGATTTCTCATCAGATGATAAGCTACTGTTAGAGGAAAGTATATTTTTTAAATTAAAATACAAAAAAAAGTGAATGGAAGAACTCACCCATTTAATTTGGGTATAAAAGCGTTCGGCGATTTAATCATTTATTGTATGAGCTGCACTTCCTCCCTTATCCCTTATTATTAAAAATTGGACAAATTTTAACAAAATCGCAATTATTCCTGCCGAAATGATAATTGAAATGTTAAGGTAGAAAATTATTCAAAATTTTTTTTTGATTTTTATATTTTTCATAGCAAAATAGCAAGTGATTCGTCTTTAAAAAAACAGTACTGCACCATTTGCAGCTGATTGCATGCGGGGGCGCGGGTTTGGGAAAAGAAACATGCAAAAGTCCACCCCAAGGCAGAGAGCGGTGAGCGAGTCCGAGAAGTTCCGAGTGCAGGTGGATTAAGCAAAGCAGACTAGGTGGAACCAGAATACCCGTTGAAATTCCTAGACCACGTGGCAAGGTCCACAAAAAAGTACGGATTGAATATAAACACAAACCCCTTGGCTAGGGCCATACTAGGGTATGGGGCTTTACTTATAAAAGGAAAGATCCTATTGCAGGAACTTTGGCTAAATAAGCTAGATTGGGATGAGTCAATTCCACTGCATTTAGAAACAGCGTGGAACAAAATACAAATTGCCTTTTCGCAATTAGAGGACATCTCAATTCCGAGATTCGTGCTTACGAGCCGATGTCACCGATTCAGTTTCATGCCTTTTCTGACGCATCGATGAGAGCCTATGGAGCCTGCGTTTATATTCGTTGCAAATCTGCAGAAAGTATTTAAGTTTCAAGACAAAGACGCTCCCCCATCTTATGAGTTATGATTCAGAAATTACTTCATTGGATTCGTTTCCATCCATCGTCGTTGTCAACGGTCGTATCGAATAGAGTAGCTGAAATTCAAGAGTATTCAGATGATAGCACGTGGCGGCATGTACCAACTAAACAGAACCCGGCAGATATAGTGTCCAGTGATAGTGATATAGGTCCATCATTTTTAAGGGAACCGGAAGATAAGTGGCCGAGGAGCCCCCGGTTTGATTTGTCACCAGAACTTATACAGATGGAAGCGAAAAAGAATGCGGTCGGATTTACCGCAATCATATCTACCTCAGACTTATTTGAAGTTATAGAAGGATATTCCTCTCATCTAAAACTGCTGCGAGTGTTCGTTTATATGTTCCGCTTTATAAAGAAATCGAAGAATTAGTAGTGAATTCTGATATTGTTCCCTCACCTGTCGAATATAATAAAGCTTTTAAAAAAATAGTCGAAATAGTCCAAGAGCACGAGTATCAAGATGAAATAGAAAAGATCCGCAAAAAATTTTTATGTGTTAGCCCTAGTCTACAAAGCCAAAATCTCTTTCTACATGAATTATCAGAGGCTAGGATTACCTTTTCGTTATTGCGAGTTGGGGGGCGACTAGCTAATGCTCCTATATCGTACGATGTCAAGCTTTAAGTACTGTTGACAAAACGCTCTTAATTTGTTCAGAGCTACGTCCGATACTTGCACGAGTCGAATTTTCATGTGGGTCCACGAGCACTTGTGAGTCTTTTGCGACACACGGATCGTAAATGCGCAGGAAGTCTGCAGTCAGACAGTACGATCATGCATACGCTTCTTTAAATGCAAGCCTCGTCTGATGACTCAAATCATGGGTGATTTACCCTTAGACAGAATTCGTGTTCTCCGCCAATTCTCCATATGTGGTGTTTATTTTTGTGGCCCTATTGATACGACATTGAAAATTCGTGGTAGGCCACCCTATAAGTTCTTCATTGCTGTTTGGTCATTGAGCTTTTTCAATGCCTTATTTGTTTGTTTTTCATCCAAGGCAGTTCATTTAGAAGTAGTTTCCGACCTTTTCAACTGATTCCTTTTTGGTGGCTTTTCTAAGGTTCGTTGGGCGCAGAGGATGTCCGCAGATCGATTATTGCGACAACGCGACGAACTTCGTCGAAGCGAGCCGCCACTTCGCAAAGCTTTGTCGGAGAATCATGGCCGAGGTCGACGCAGTCACGCTATACGCATCAAGGATGCGTATTTACGTTCATACCACCGCGGGCTCCGCACATGGGCGGACTATGGGAGGCAGGTGTGAAGTCTGCCAAGCACCAACTCCTACAAGCGGTAGGGAACGCCAAACTAACCGCGGAGGAGCTGCAGTCCGTCCTCGTTGGAGTCGAGGCCGTCCTGAACTCACGACCACTGGAGGCTCTGAGTCAGGACTCAAGCGACGGCGAGGCGCTTACTTCCGTGCACCTGTTGACAGGCGGGCCGCTCATCGCCCTACCAGCACCGCGTACCCCGGACCAGAAGGGTCTAACGTGCTTGCGGCGATGTCGGCTTGTCTCATCAATCAAGCAAATGTTATGGTAGCCATGGTCCCGGGAGTACGTCTTGGGCCTACAGGCGCGGTCGAAGTGGCAGAACCAGGAGGACGACATCCGGACGGGCGAGCTGGTCCTGATCGCAGAGGATCACCAGCCGCCACAACAGTGGCTCACAGGAAGGGTAGGAGCAACGCACGCCGACGCGGACGGAAGGGTCTGGGTCGCCGTCGTCAGGACTAGCTCTAGAGCGGAGTTTAGGAGTGCAGTCCACAAGCTGGCGCGGCTGCAAGTGGGTTGAAGCCGGATGGAGGCTTTCAACGGGGCCGGTATTAACGGATTCGTCGCATATAATTAGATTTGAAATCATTTGAAGTTGTTTAATTTGAATTGTATTTTGTAGTTATTAGTCTCTAAAGTTACTATAAGATAGCTTAGGGCGGAGCGGTAGCGAAAGCTCATATTGGTCTTGTGCGAATTCGCTTCGATTCGCCGCAATAGATAAGTTAGGCTTAAGATTAGAGAAAAATATAATCGGAATTATAACGTTAAAGAGGACAGATAATTTTTTCGTTTTTCAACACTTTCAAATATTCAGCAGCCACCCTTATTTATTATTTTTGTATTGAGGTGTGAGATAAACTAATCTCATTTAACACAAAGGTTCAATGTTTCCTCGTGCGCGGGTGCTTAAGGAGCATCTGAAAATAATAATAATAATAAAATAATAAATAAAATAAAAATAAATAAAAAAATTTAACAAATAAAGTTTATTTGAACAAAACAAAAACAAAAATATATATATAAATACAAATTAAATATAAAAGTAAATAGTAAAAGAAAGTAGATAGGGTCATCCACACCATACAGAAAAAAACCCCAAGCATCATACGAAAATATTTTTTCACAATTGCCCGCCAACCATAATTAATCCTCACCACACGCCATAGGAAAAGTCGTAGTCGCGGGGCAGAAGGAGCGGTGAATGTGGCAGCGCTACTACGCTTAAGCGGATCAAAGGAAACGGAGACGCAGTGGAACGTAACGGTTCGCGGGCCAGCAGCTCGGCCGTGAAGTAGGGGGGAAACGACGTTAAACGTAGTAGTCCCTGAAAGGAGGCGCGATGAGGATATTGACCGTAGATGAGCAAGGAGTGGGGAACGACGCAAAGTGTAGCGGTCCCTTCAAGACAGCAAGGGCCCCGCATAGCAACAGCAAAGGTCCTTGGCCGGGAGAAGCAAGGGGACCGCCAACAGGAGTGTGGCATGAGACTGAAAAGCAGGACGAGCGGCAAGAGCAGAGGAACATTGGCGCTACTAAGAGGGTTACTTTTGGGAAGCTGGTAGCGTTGAGTTGGAGAGTCCTACAGCTCTGATTGTCCCCGGTTGTCCAACAAACGAGTGAAGAAGCCGTGGCAGGATGGTTCGACTGAACCCCAGGATTCAAAAGTCAATGGCAGGTAGCCTGGCCCCGAAACGTACAAACGGATCGGTGAATAGGCATTTTCCTGCAAAGCGAGGAGTGACCGGCTCGACTCCAGACACATGAACCTTACTTCAGTATCGGATGCACCAAAGAAATAAATAAACTCTTAGTTATGTAGGGGTCGTTAAATTCTTTTGACCATCTTTTAATAACACCTTAACTTTACACGCTTAACTTTATGAACCATTGTGAAAATATGTACATCGCTTGGCCCATGATAAAATTATACTATATTATATATTATTATGTATAATTGTATCAAGGCCTGGCCTCTCCAGGTTCTAGTCCTCTATATAACAATTAGAGGTTTTAAAATCCAATAAGTATTAAATATTAATAATAATAATAATAATAATAATACCATATTCGCTAAACACCATTTGTGAAAATTTTTGATATCAGGCTGAAGTCTTTATTGGGCACAAGTGGATTTGTTTTGAAGACAAAGCTTAACATCTTCTGCGTACATAAGTATTAGCGAGTTCGTTAATGCAGTCATTAATAAAAAGAGTAAACAGTAACAGTTACAGGAAATAGGGCATAGGGCTAAGATGACTTGCTTGGGGGGACTTCAGATGTAGCACGGGAATGCACATTTATAGTTGAAACTCTTTGTGTTCTTCCATCTAGGTAGCTCGAGATCCTCGTAAGGAGGAAATCCTAAAAGATTCATTTTAATCAACAGAAGTGATTGATTTAAGAATCAAATGCTGTTCTGAAGTCTGTGTAAATAACATCAGTTTGAAATCCCTATCGGAAGTCATCTATGACAGAGGATACCAACTCCAAAAAATTAGGGGTGGTGGAGTGACTCTCAATGAAACCATGCTGTAATTTGATCAAAAAGCAAAGTTGTTGCAAATAAATATTGACTAATTTTTCAAATGGAAAAGGACATTTTTTCACGAATTTTATTCCCATTCATAATTTCCTGAATAGTAGTCTTAGCCAGATGGGACTACAAACCGAATAAGGAAAGACCTTATGGACTCAAAAGTTAATATGAATGGAGGGACTTAGATCCTATGCTTGTGAGGCATCATATATCTTATATAATATTATTTTTTTAAATATTATTTTTATAAAATTATTATTGGTATAATTATTAGATTATATAAGTATTGAAATAGGTAAATTTTAGTAAGTGTCGTTCTCAATAAAATTTAAAAAGTGTTCAACTTCATTATTGGAACATCTTTAGTCCTTTTTACAATGGTAGCAGCTGCATGATACTGCACTTTTAAATGTAACGCTACGAATTCCCTCAATACACAACACGCGACGTTGTATCTGAAATGACATTTTTTTTTCAGTGTTGATAAGAAAATAATTTTTAACATACCTCTTCCGACTTCATCATGTTACAGCATTGCCCAACACTCACGACTGGTTTTGGTGGCTTAAACAAACCAGCCAGTGACACTCCCGCCAATGGGATTGAGGGAACAGAGTACGATTCGCAAAATCCGCGGCATGCATTTGTCGTAATGTTAAACTCCACACAATCGGGAATAGAAATCTTTCTGGTGTTTCCAACTTTGTGGCATCCAGGTCGAAGCCAAACATCCTTGTTTACCATACTGCCATCGGCAAGTAAGAACATTGCACTCACGAGTACCAGTAGCTCGGTCGACCTCATCTTTATAACTGGTAAATATGCCCTCGAGCTCATTTTCTATTTATAATATTTCCACGTGCTGACGCCTGCGCACGATTATTTTGCAATAACAAGAATGGTCAAATGGTTATGAGTATTGCATTGAATACTTAAAATTAAAATTTTTAATAGCTCTAAAAAAATACTCTAAAAAAACTTATGATATTATTTATTTATTTTAAATTTTAATTACTATACATAATCTGTGGTTTATAATATTTTAACTAAATATAATCTTAAAGTACGAGCTAAATTGGCCCTCGACTCGACAATTTAAAAATAAATATATAAGGGTTTTTTTTTTATAATTGCCATTATCACGTATATTTAAATTTAGTCTATGATTTTACATTTGCTTAAGAATGATAAGATTAGGTTGGCATTTATAGGTAAAAGGTTTTTTAATAAATGTGTGGGAGGAGTAAGTCCGAAGAGAACGGTTCCTTGGTTTAGATAATGTCGGCATGTTTCCAGCAGGTGATTGACTGTTATTTGCTGACGCAGTGGGGGCAGTTGGGTTTTCTTTCGCCGGTGAGAAGATGCTCATGGGTGAGATCATTGTGTCCGGTTTTTAGCCTGATACTAAGCCGGTTTTTAGCCTGAGTCGGCTGGCGATTTTTACATACTTAAATAAACATTACAATAAAACAGCGGCTGCTGTCTGACCCGACACTGTCTTTAAAACTATTGGGGCTTTTTATATTCATTTTTCAAAGTTATTAAATCTAAGCATTTTTTAGCAAATCTCGACCTCTTCTTCTGAAGAAAACGGTCGTGTTTCATTAATGCGCACTGCGTTTATAACAAATATTCCTGTACAGTTTTCGTTTTACTTTCGTTCGGAACGGTACTTCAAAAAAAAACCGAGAAAAAACAAGAAAGCAAAGCTAACTTCGGGCGGAGCCGAAGTTGATATACACTTGCAGCTAAAACCGGATATATATCGCAAACATCGGATATAGTTGGCCGATCCTTATGATTACATCATAATAAAACCAATTAATTACAATAAAAAATCTAAAAAAAGTCCCAAGCTTCTATCTTCGAAAATACGAAAGTTGATATTTCTACCAAATACTATTTCGGATCGTTCAGATATATGGCAGCTATAAGATATAGTCAACCGATCGTTATAAAATTTGGTACATCGGATTAACTGACCTGATTAACTGATTATAAAAATATAATCTGTACCAAGTTCCAGCTTTCTATCTTCAAAAACACGAAAGTTAGGTCATTTCCGATCGTTCAGTTATATGGCAGCTATAAGATATAGTCGGCCGATCCTTATGAAATTTGGCGTGTCGTATTATTTTGCCAAAAATAGCTCTCATGTCAAATTTGAACTCTCTAACTCTAAAAACACAAAAGTTATACCATTTCCGATCAATTAGTTATATGGCAGCTATAGGATATAGTCGGCCGATCCGGGCTCGGCCGATCCGATCCGTTCCGACTTATATACTGCGTGCAAAGGAAAGAAGGGTGTGTGCAAAGTTTCAAGACGATAGCTTTAAAACTGAGAGACTAGTTCGCGTAGAAACAGACAGACGGACAGACAGACGGACAGACGGACATGCTCATATCAACTCAGGAGGTGATCCTGATCAAGAATATATATACTTTATAGGGTCGGAGATGTCTCCTTCACTGCGTTGCACACTTTTGGACAAAACTATAATACCCTCTGCTAGGGTATAACAATTTTTTTTTTTTCACAAAAAAAAGAAAGTTTAAAAATTGTGAAAAATTTTTTTTGCTAAAAATATGTGCTTTTATTATTTATTACGGGCAACATTAAAATAAGAATGGCCCACGGGGCCAAGGGGTCCATCCTTTCCTCAGAGCCGGACACTTTCAAGAGATCAAAAAAAAAAAATATTTTACATAATCATAAGTGATGAAGTGATAGTAAGTGATGCAAGTAAGTGATGAAGTAGATGTTTTGGAAACGGAGACCTCGAATGTGAATAATTCAACAATTCAAATTTTAAATAGGAAAGAAGAAGAAAAGAAACGAAAATTTGAAAATTTTTGCCTAAAAGAAAATTTGCAATTGGATAAAAATTAAATTTTATATGACATTTCTCACAAAGGGCCCTTTGTGGTCTATATTGACTAAATCGGAGATACTGGCTTAGAGAGCCGACAGAACAGAGTCCCAATTAACCCGCTAGATTTGAATGCTACACTTCTGAAACTCAAAATCAAAGATATTCTATCCGTCAGTAAGATTGGCTTTGGACGCTGCAAAGCTGAGTTTAAGGCTGCTGCGACAGTTAATGACATTGTATTTTCAGATTTGAAAAATAATGGCTATGAACCCAAGATTTTAAAACACTTTATTTTTAAAATGGATATTTTTTTTAATATTCCTATAAAGTTTTCCGACTCCGAACTGAAAGAGTACATTTCTCTCTCTGTACCGATTCATGAGATCATTCGGGTTAAAACTAGGGACAAGGAGGATAAAGATAATTTTATTAACACTTCTAGGGTTAAAATTCTCTTCAAAGGTACACAAGTTCCCAATGAAGTCGTCTTTTTATACACTAAGGTTAACGTTAGTCCGTATGTACCTTTCAGCCAATGTTATCGCTGTTTTAGTTTTAATCATTTTGCTCAAAATTGTAAAACAAGCCGATCAAAAATGTAGTAGCTGTGCATTATCTCATACCAAAGAGCAGCAATGTAGCCAATTGGTTTGCGCTAACTGCAAACAATCTCACGTAGCCACCTCTCTTGATTGTCCTGCTCGTAAAAGAGCCTATGCAATTAAAAAGTGCATGACACTTGAAAACTTATCAAAATCAGAAGCGAAAATTAGGTATCCCTCTCTGTTTTATATTTTACAAGAAGTTGATACTAACGACATCACTCATTTTCGACAGCCATCATGGCAAAGGAAATTAAATACACCAAATTTTCAAAATAACACGAAATTAGCCACGAAACAATTATTTGAAAATAACTCTTTTAACAAAGCTAAGATCTCTCTTTAAAAAAAATGAGGCAAAAAATGCCAACGACACAATGATCAGCTGGAAAGATGCCCTTAAAAAACATGAGTACTCTATCAAAGAAAAATTCATTAACACGCAATCTAAAGAACCTGTTTCTGCTCAACAATTTGAAATTTATAATTGCAACAACCCAGCTCTAGAAGCTGCAGAAAATAGTTTAATCCAACTAGCCCTAGCCAATAGGGCTAAAATTAACCAATCAACACAATAGTTTTTTAATTTTGCTTGTCTATATACTTTTCTTAAGTGAAATCCAAAATAAAATAAAAATAAAAATGACTCTTAAAATCCTGTAATATAACATTGAGAGCTTAAATGCTAATAACAATAATCATTTGTTAGAACTATTTTTAGTTAATAAAAGCAATTTAGCAATTTTGTCAGAAATCTGGATTCCAAACAACTCTGTGTAGCCTAGCAAATTATAATTTTGTCTGTAAACCTCGTGCCGACAGGTATGGAGGCGTTGGAAATTATTTCATTTAAAACATGAAAGGAAAGCTAACTTCGGGCGGAGCCGAAGTTGATATACCCTTGCAGTTAAAACCGGATATATATCGCAAACATCTGATATAGTCGGCTGATCCTTATGAGAATATCACAATAAAACCAATTAATTACGATGAAATATCTAAAAAAAAGTCCCAAGCTTCTATCTTCAAAAATACCAAAGTTGGTATTTCTACCAAATACCATTTTCGATCGTTCAGTTATATGGCAGCTATAGGATATAGTCGGCCGATTCTAATGAAATTTGGTAGGTTGGATCAACTGACCAAAAATAGAATATGTACACCCAGTCCTTTTTTACGCAATTGTTGGTTCTGCCACTAATCGCGTAAAAAAATATCGCGTAAAAATCGGAACCGCTAACTAAATGACTAATGACTAGATTTGCAATAATTGATACACATAGAGTAATCGCAATCGCAATCGCGTTAAAGTGAAAAATCCGCGTAAAAAAAGAAATTTGCGCTGCAAAAATAACCAAATAAATAAGGACTGGGTGTACTAAGTTTCAGCTTTTTATTTTTAAAAATCACGAAAGTTGGGTCATTATCGATCGTTCAGTTATATGGCAGCTATAGGATATAGTCGGCCGATCCTTATGAAATTTGTCATGTCGTATTATTTTGCCAAAAATGCTTTCTTGTAAAATTTGAACTCTCTATCTTTAAAAACACCAAAGTTATACCATTTCCGATCAATCAGTTATATGGCAGCTATAGGATGTAGTCGACCGATCTGGCTTATATACTGCGTGCAAAGGAAAGAAGGGTGTGTGCAAAGTTTCAAGACGATAGCTTTAAAACTGAGAGACTAGTTTGCGTAGAAAATGACAGACGGACAGACAGACGGACATGCTTATATCAACTCAGGAGGTGATCCTGATTATGAATATATATACTTTGTAGGGTCGGAAATGTCTCCTTCACTGCGTTGCACACTTTTGACCAAAAGTATAATACCCTCTGCAAGGGTATAAAAACATATACGTTTATCTATGAAGCACCCAATCCTGACACTAATTCTTTTAAAAAAGGTTGCAACGATCTTTTTTCTATTGCGTCTGAACTGAACGGTACTGCTATTATAGGTGGCGATTTTAATGCCAAATCTAGTGTTTGGGGTAACAACACGCTTGATGCCAGAGGAGGCATCTTAGAAAACGCTTTTTTAAATTCAGGATTTTTCTGCATTAAGAATGGCGATCCAACCTACTCACCTAATCCGTCCTATTTCTCTACCCTTGATGTCACTTTCACAAACAATAATCATCTTAGATTTAAATGGGCTTCAGGTAATTCTATAATTTATTGAAGTTTTAATTAAAGTGGATAATATTTCGGCTTCTTTCAACTCTTATAATTATAGTCACCCTAAAATCATTTTAGATTTTAAATAACTTTTTTAAAATGAGAAAGAATAACCTAAACAGGCTTTTAGAAGATTTACCTGACCCTCTCAATGAAAGATATGTGGGGAAAAATTCATTTCCTTCAAATTTATAAACAA